GTCGTCCCTAGCCGATACCAAGTACCAGCCCGGGTCGACAAGGCCCGACTTGATGAATTTGAGTTCCAAGCGGGAGGATCCCTTAGTGGAATCCTCCATAGCTCGCCTCATTTCACTGATCAGGCTTGCCCTGATGCATTCGCTTTCATTTGGCAGAACAGTACCTCCAATCCTGTTCGACAAGATGACCACTTGAAGACTTTTGTCGATTGTTGGTCGACTAGGAGCCTCCTGTCGAGCTTCTACATTTCCTCTACTTTTCGGTCCCCTCTCCGACGCCTCGACAATGTCTCTCTTTAAGGGGGAGACATACCGCCTAGCATCAGAAAAGGGCCTCGCCCTCTTTTTATTATATTCCGGAGGTGTCCCCTTATCCGCCCTCTGCCTTTTGCTGGAGGCTGGACCAGGGGTTCTTGTTTGAGCCCCCGTTTCCTGCCTCCCTGCATTAGCCGGCGCCGATGGTAATGGGGGGACGTTTTTACCCTTTCTCAGGTATTCCCTCCTTTTCGGACCTCTTGGAAGCTTGCCAGGTTCCCCAATTCGATTTGGCTTTACCCTTACCTGGCTTGAGCAGCTTGGTTGGGGGTCAGCCATCTCGGATCCGGTTGCCTGTTGAGGAACGTCAGATACTACTAGAGAACGTTGGTCCTCCTGTAGCCTCTTCAGTTCCTTTTTAGCCTCCTTTTCCTTGATTCTCTTCCTCTTATTTTTCTCTCTAGTCCTCTCCTTCCTCCTTTGGGCTTTGATCTCCAGAGCAGTGGCTTTGGCCGGCTCTGGTGATCCAGCAGAAGAGTTGAGAAGATCTACCTCTTCTACTGTCAGTGGTTACTACTCGCTTGCCACCACTGTGGAGCTGAGGGGCTCCGGTGTACGTTCTTTTTGCACGTTACTAAATTCTGTTTTGTCTTCTTCCATGATTGGTTTTTTGTTTTGTTTTCCTGACCAACACACACGCGCACACACTTATTTGGGCAGATATCTTTGGACTTTGGGCCTCCCAAAACTTCTCCCAGGGCCAACATAACACAACGTGGATCCCGATGAGGAAGGTTGTCGGCCGCTTTCAAAAAGTGAAGCCCCCCGGAACATGCAGCAGGCCCTCGCCCAGGCGCTACCTGGAGCTACTACATGTAACGAGATTATACACCGATTGATAGGGCAGCCCCCTGGTACTAGCTAGGTAAGGGTGGGCCCCTGTACTACTCGGCGGCACGGGTGTGCGGTCCCGCTTTATTTCACCGCTACCGAACCAACTCGACCTCGATACGGGGTCGCGTAGCGTTAGCCAGGTATTGGTGTAGAGCGTGTGTGAGCGCATGCGTCAATCAGGTTGGCTATCTGCAGGAACAAGTTCCTGGGCGATGGGGTCGCCATATCCCGACGCCAGGGGTTACCTTTTAGTCGCCTTTTACGACAAGCAGGTATTACTGTGGGCCAATTCTACTTTAGTGTCCCCGGTGCCACAGGGGATGAGTTATGAGTAAATAAAATACTTATATTTATAATACGCCCTTGAAAAAAAAAATTGTATATGTTATTTGGAATAGAAGCTCTTTTTGTGCTTCGTACAGTTGCCTGCCTCAGCTACGCTTCGGCCGTCAATCTTTGTACTCACCACAAAAAGAGTCACTTCTACTCCTTATGACATAATCTACTATTTGAACTTTAAAATTGATTTTAAAAAATGACTTGTCAAAATTAAATTTTTGGACTTGTACTGTTCTTATTCTCACTGATTCAATTGTAATACATAAAAACACACACTTTAGCTGGACGAGAGACAGCTTGTACTAACATTAACAACTTAGATTGACTACACAACATTTTATTTGACATTTCGCGTCTTTAGGCAAAGTATATTGTTAATTACCTAAACTAAAACTACTGATGTCATATGGGCACCTTAAGATCTACTCCAGATTTTGCTCATAAAATAAGGCCCCTAAAAGGCACCTTTTCTGCATATGATAAAATGAAATAAATAAACAGTATTTTAACTACCCAGATCTGTATACATTTTTTATAGTGTATCATAGGAGTGGAAACAGGCTTAATCCCTGCCAACATACACTTGAAGACGGAAGGCTAAAAGTCGTAGTATACAAAGGGGTCCTATATGGGTCATGTTTTGTTAAAGTGAAACGAAAAGGTCAAAATGAATAAGCCTTATTCCATAAGGCATTGTCCCAAAATTGGCACCTGTAAGTGCAATAACGGGGAAGTCTATCAGAATTGTTTAAACATATTTCACCACCTCATATTATAGTACAGTCTGTCCATTATAAGTTGCCGTGCAAAGGAATGTTTATGCAGTTTAGATAAATAATATTAAAACAATTATGTTTTTTAATATAATTTATATACATATATATGTATAAAATATCTACGGTGTAAAGAGTAATCCTAAAATGGTGTCAAAATCCAACACCAAGTGGTGTTAATATAACACCATGAATTAGGGTTGAAAATGAACACCAAAACGGTGTTTATCTAAAAATATTTGAGAAGTGCACCTACCCAAAAAAAAAGGAATAGTTCATTTAACCCAGTTGACCCATAAGTATTTATATTTTTGGGGATCACGTGATGTTCTTAAATCTCGCCTCTGTTGACTTACATGAAGAATATATAAACTAGTCCTTTGCTTTGGTGTGACACTACAAGTTGTTCGATATTAAAGAGACCTTAAATAGGTGGAAACAGCTGTCAATACTTGAAGTATTTTAAGTTAGTGGAACGCACTAAAAACATTATCTCTAGCGAGTTAAAGGTTTAATTTTCTGGAATAATACCACTGGTAATGCGTCAAGGAATTCCTGTTTCCTTCTTTTTTTCCTTTTTTCTGTGTAGTATGATAATTTGACCACAAACACATAATATTTAACACTGAAAAGGAGTTCAATTTACACCAGGTAAAATTTATTTTAATACTGTGTGAAAGTTAAATTAACACCATTTTAGTATTTGAATTTACACCGCCAACGAACCTTATTTAACACAATTTTAGTATTTGAATTGACACCGGACCAACGAACCTTATTTAACACCATTTTGGTTTGTATCGATATAGACCACGTATGGTGTTAATTTGGTGTTAAATTGGTCATGAAATTTTGAACAGTGTGTAATATTATTATTTATAATATAAAAAATACGTTTTAAAAGCAATTGTTTAATAACTAAATAACTTCGGCCGTATAGAGGTTTCATTTTGGTCGATAAAAAGGTGATGTTTGTGAAGAACTTTTAATTTTAATTCAAAAATTCTTTAGTGGATTAAAGCCTAAAGTTATAATGGCATGGAGCTTTTGCAAACAATTGGCAAAGCATTGCAAAAGGTTTAATGATTATTTAATATTTTATAAAATAATTCAAATAATTGACAACGTTTTACTATCCATAAACATCAGCATCAAGACAATTATTAAAGGACGGTCAAAAATAGCATTAGAACAAATTTTGGGAAGAGTGTAGCATTAATAGATATTTTAAAAGCTATTGATATAAAACTAAATGGTTACTTAGGGTTTTCCACTGGGTATAATATAGTAAGAGCATCATCATAGTAAGCTGATAATTATAAGTGGTTTTGTCCACTTTTATAAATGTTGTGTATTGCAATAGCTTGAATTTGTAATTTTTTTGAATTTTAGATCAACCAAATTTGACCAGAAGACACCTAAATCATCATGTGGTATCAAAAAACATTGATTTTTTAGCAGTTAAAACTAACAAAACCAGTGTTGAAGTGGAGGGTTTAGGCAATGATTTATGGATTGACAGGAACCATTCAGTCGCCAAAAGTATGTAAAAAAATAATAAAGCTGTAAAAATTTAATAATAATTTATTTTTTTAGAAAACAACTAAGAAGTTAAAGGAATTATTTTTTACGCCCACATCATTGGTAGGAAACCTGATAAAAATTTGCAGTATTTAAAGGACATTCTAGAGATTCTTTGGTTAAAATTTCTTAAAAATCATCTCCAAAAAATACTATTATAAACTGTCTAGAACTTTCCCACATCGATGATCAAGATTTTAACTTTGTACGCTTGGCAGAATTCTTTGGTAGATTATACAAAGGTGTCAACTTTTCATTAGACAAATTGTACCCCAAAGTTTATTATCCAGTCTCCAGAGGCACACTCACGATTTCACCCAAATATAATAGGTATAAATACTATTATCAAATTTGGAGAGCGAACAGTTAAAATAACTTCAAAGGACGAGCAGTGGTACTTTATAACTGGACATGTAGTTGATGATAGAAATCTTGTACCGGCTACACGGTATTTGCAACTGGTCTGAGAGACCCTTGCCCATATCAAAGGCATTATGATATCAGACATAAAAGTGGTTTTCGAAAATTGCAAATTTCATTGGGCCATGAACTTGACCAAAGAAATCGTCTTAGAATTGACCTTTATGTTGCAAAGAGGCTCTGGAAGATTTGAAGTGGTTGCATAGTAACTGGTAGAAGAAAAAAACATATTTTGAGTGCATGCACACTTGACTGCAGTCAAATATTCATTGTTCAAAACCTGGAAGGTGATCAGATTGATTTGAACATACCAGTTGGTAGAAATGATAAACATTATTTAGCAATGTCGAAAAAGGATGTGTACAAAGAGCCAAGTGGCTATAACAATTTATAAGTAATTAATATTTCATCTTCATTCATATCAATAATTTTTGTTGTCAATTCTTAACGTTTCTTTCTTTTCTGGGCTTTATGGCCCCCCTTCATATGTTTTTTCTTCCGTGGTGGTATTCCTTTATTTCACATCTTCATTTGTATCACCTATGGTATCTAAACTATTTACTTTGTTCTCCAAAGTATGTCATATCTTTTTTCGTACTTAATGCTTGACTTTTTTGTAGAGGTACCTACCTTTAGAAGAATTCAAGAAAGCAATGCAGAGGCTAACTGGATCAACTTTATGAATAACATGTTACAAATGAAAATTTTGCAAGTTTATACAAGACTGTTAAACGTTGTATGAAAAGCTTGTCTATAGATTTCCATAAGCACATACAAATCTGTAAAAAACTTGGGGAGAATCGTGATGTCTCAGTCTATGTTTTGAAGAATATGGCAATTATAAGGTATGTTGGTTGCCTACATATATCAAAATCTAGATCAAATGTACGTCTTTTTTAGATGCGGTGCTATAGAAATTCAAAGTCTTCATGCATCTTCAATAGCTTTAAAATTATACAAGTTTAAAATAACATCAATCCATTAGGGTTGATTTACATATTCTACTGGAAAATTTCTATAGTAAGTTGTTTTATTCTGAATTTTAAAGAATTTATACAGAATTATTTTTTTAGATATTAAATTTAAAGTGGTAGAGATTTAGAGCCCATATAAAGTTTGATTTTTGAGGCTCTAGGAGACCAACCTTTAACAGCCCAACATTGTTATCTTAATGAAAAAAAAATCATTTAAATTTGAAAAACATTATTGTGGAATATATAAAATTGGTCACTGAATCTGACTGTCATATGGTTGTGGGGTACAATCTAGATATAATGTAAGTACTTTTTTGCAAAAGCCTTACATCAATGATTTTGATTTGTTTATCATTATGTTTGTTTGTTTTAGACTTAACAGCAAGTTTTTTAACGCCCTAAATGGCGTATGCGTACATACAGGCATTTATTATGAGATGAACTGCCGAAATGGGAAAGTGTAATGTAACCACCAGAGGGAATTTGTCACAATATTGAGTCCAGAAAATATTCTTGTTCCTGTAAGTTATAAAGCTGTGATTTTTTATGTAAATTCTTGTGTTTTTTTAGAATTACTATGCTGCTCTCAACTTTTGGGATTATTAACCGCCTCTGGTAGAATCAACATGGATGTAATAACTCAAGACAGAACTGACAAGAAGTTGTAGAAGGTTTCGAATTTTTTGAAAGAGATATCAGGATTGAAGAAAATTCAAATTGTTGAGACACTTTTTATATGATTTTTTTTATTTAAAGTGGTAAAAAAGTTATCGGTATGGTAGTACATGGAGCCATGTCCACCATATTAGCAGTTGATATTATATATTTACTATGGGATGTTGCAGATGTTTGGTCTCTGGAAGGAGCTTGCACTATACCAGCGGTAAATGGAACTATACTGTATTCTTTTGTAACGGTAAAATAACAAGGTTTTTATTATTTTTTCATTTACTTCCACGTTTATATAATTTTTTGTCTTTAATTTTGACACTCTTTTGTTTCGCATCTTTATTTTTATTAAATAATGTGTCAAAATTATCTACTACATCATATAAAATACCTTATTTAGATTTTTCAGGATTAGCTTTATCCCCTTTTTTATTAATTTGTATTTTTTCTTTGGGTTTTATTATACTTGTCCTTAGTTCTGATGTCTGCTTTCCTTTTTCTTGGCGTTAAGGCCCTCAATTGTATTTTCTTTTGTTTCACAGTTGTATTAACTAAGGTGTCTAAAGTTTCTGCTATCATCTAAATTATTTAATTTTATTTCTTCAGCAGTGGATTTTTCAACTTTTTAGATTTTCTCAAGATTTATCCAAAAAAAAGTCGATCCTTAATTTTTATTTCTTTCGTGGTGGTATTTTCTGGTTTTATTCATATTGCCTTGAGTTTTATAGAAATGAAATTTTAAGTTTAAAAACTCTGTATATTAAAAATATTGTTATTTAAAATCTCATTTGTAATTTTGTCTGTAATCATGAAAAAAATTATTAACATACGTATACAGTTTTATTTAAATTTTAATAAAACTTTAACCTTTATATACAATGTTTCATACAAATGTTTAATACATTTACATACAATCACAACAATTAAATACATTGTGTATACTTTATCTTTTAACTATGCAACAAAAATAACGGCACGACTGGAAACTTCCTGGGTCCCTAGCCCTTTATTAAATTGATTGTAACAATTTTTTATCTTAATTTTGGTTCTTTCTTTAGAAAAGCCCTTTAATTTCGAGCCAATCCTTACGTATTTGCATTTAAGATTCGTCAAGGCTAGGCTAGAATGCATAATATGCAAATATATTATATTTTGTCAAATGCATGGGTCTCAATTTACAAAGCTATTTAATTTCGAGCCAATCCTTAAGTATTTGCATTTAAGATTCATCAAGGCTAGGCTAGAATGCATAATATGCAAATATATTTTGTTACATGCATGCAATTTACGGTCATTTATCCAGGGTGGTTCAGGTTATAGTAGGAATAATTCACCATTCCAAGATCCATCAAAAAATAAGTTAACATGCATAATTTTGTTTTTTTCCAAAACGCTTTGTAAGGGATTTTAATTTTAAAAATCTTTTTTGTCATAACTCTCAGGTTTTTGACCAAATTTTGTACAAGTACTTATGAACTAAATACACATTACTTGACGCAAGTAATTTTTGTCAAAATTGTCCAGTGACAATGATCTGTAAGAGTTTATCCCCCCTTTCTCAATTATTTCAAAAGCAAAGTAAAATAAAATAAGTGCTGTATACTTATAAGTCATACAATAATTTATCTATTCATATTGCATGATATTGTTTTTTCTTGTGAATAATGATAAACATAATAATTTCCCTGTCTAACAACGTAAATAATGAACTCATTTTTCACATTGTTAGGCATCAGTGATTGGCCGATTCCAATATTCACTGTAATTTGAACCAATCGTGTTTTAAATTGGGAGAAGGCGACTATAATAACATTTAAAATTGGTAAAGAGAGGTTAACTACACAGTTTAAAATATTTCGGTGTAAAGTTACCAAATGGAGTGGTAAAATCATTTTGTGTTAATTTATACACTAAAATTGGTCAAAAAATTAAGTTCTTATTTTAAATTGTGATAAAATTCATTCAACACAGCACCGTGTCAATCTAGTGTTAATTTAAAGATAAACTCGACGCAGTGTACATTTGACACTATTATGTGTTGAAAGCTACACAAATTGTGGTAAAAAAAAGTCACGTAGTCATCACCATTCGGCAAGGGCGCGATCTGTGGTGCAATGTGACAGTGGATGCAATGTGACAGTGGATGCAGTGGATGCAACTTGTGATATAACATGTTTTTTTACCTGTGATTTTTAAGTGGAATATGAAATTTAGTAATATTTTAAGTTTTTGAGCTAGTGAAAAAAAAATTATTAACACTTCTTGGGTATAAGAATAATTACACCTAAGTAGTGTTAATCATTTTTTTAAATTTTATGCCAAAGCCTATTTGTATTCATATCTAATAGTTTGTAAGTAATATAAAATATACCTTATTTTACATTACATGCTGTGTTTAATATTTAAACACCTACCATTTTTAACACCTACCTGTGCAGTAAATTACACCAAATTGAGCATTTTCTACTCTTGAAATGGGGTTCTTTTACCAATATTTAGAACTGTTAGAACTGTAGGTGACGCAAAGCAGACAGTCAGTTGTGCGCCTCGGACTTGCGTTGAAATCTAGAAGACAAGAAGACGCGTAGCGAAAAGTTCACTTTGTGGGGGTACCCCACACTCATGAAACTTAATTTATATGTTGACAGCGCAATCAGTGTTGTCAATTAGACTCCATGGTCCTTTTTATCTGCCCCTCCTAAACCAACCAAACTACTCCTCATCTTCCTCTTCGCCCATACCAGCCCTTTCGAATCTTCCAGACCTTCTTATAAAGGTCAGGATATCCTGCCAGGCAAGAGAGGCCAACTCTTCCCTTTGGAGTGTCATTACTCCAAAGATTTTATACCTTAGTCTGCCGAGGGCCTCACATTGTCCCAGGGAGTGAAAGGAGGTTTTATCCTCCCTTCCGCACTGGGTACAGGAGGGGCTGGTTTCAGCCCCTATTCTCGTGAGGTGTTTCCTTAGGCCATGACCCGTGAGTATGTTCACAAGTGGGCCCAAGGAGGTTCGGCTCCTACCTAGAAGCCAGATGGATTTGGGTTTGCTTAGGGTGACCAGGAAATCCCTGGTCTGCCTACAGCCACCGCTTCTTCTCCAGCTTTCGTTCGCCCTTTTATCAGCCCAATTATTTAGGGCTGATTTGACCTGCTTTCTCGTAATTCCAAAAATTGGTTCGGGTCCTACACAGGGGGTTTCAGATCCCAATCTGGCCAACTCATCAGCCCGTTCGTTACCTTCAACCCCACTATGACCTGGTACCCATACGAGATGCACTCTTTTTGTACTTGCTAGCTTTTCCAGCGCTTCCTCACACTCTTGAACCAACTTCGATGTGGTTCTCGCTGCCCAAAGCGCTTTCAGAGCTGCTTGGCTATCTGAGCAGATGTATATATCTGTCTCACTCCCTGTTCTTATATCCTCACAGTTTGCAACCTCAAGTATGGCAAACACTTCCGCTTGAAAGACAGATCAGATTAAGAAATTGTATGTTTTCTTTATTCATTATTTTGATTAGAATTTCGTTTTTCCAAAGGGGTGGTTGTTTGCTGATTATTGAGTTTAGTTAGCTTTAATTATTGGGATTTTAGAGTCCCATGCTTGAATAAAGTAGATTTATAAATAGAACCAAGTCAAGTACAATTTACCCCCCCAACAATGTCCAAACATGTTATAACATGAATATTACTGTATACCAACCGTTTTTTCTCGTAAAGTAATTATTGCAAAATGGTATGATTATCACTAATAATAAATGCAACAACAACTTCACATCTATAACCTGAAAGATATACCTTGCGATGTGCAGAAGTTGAAACAAAGCTTAACATCGGTATACCGGTAACCATAGTTTATAATATGAAAATCAAATTGCTACATGATTATTGGACAACGCAATCACCTTGTCATCTTATTTTCAATGAAATCTCGTAAACAATTCCCCTTTATCTCTACGGTACGATAATTTAGACAAAACCATCTTGCCGTCAATCCCTACTGACACCGCGCCAACCGAACCAACGCGTTGGTTCGAACCAGGGTGGAAGAACGGAAGTATACTTCCGTTCTTCCACCCTGGTTCCTATAGGAGCACACGGTGTGCTGCTCAGTGTGCTGCAGTGCACACTTGGTGTCACTAGAGATTTAACAGTTCGTCCAAGTGGGTGGTAGGTAGGTAGCGTCCTTTGACGACAAGATGGTTTTCTCTAAATTATCGTACCGTAGAGATAAAGGGGAATTGTTCACGAGATGTCATTGAAAATAAGATGACAAGGTGGTTGAGTTGTCCAATAATCATGTAGCAATCGGTATACCGATTGTTTCAACATCTGCACTTCTGCGT